AGGCAGACAGAGATATATAAATATATACATATATACATATACATATACTTATATACACATATATACAAGTATATTTGTATATCTATATATATAGTATGTCTGTATATCGATGTATATAAGCAAATATATATATATACATATTACGTGTATGTATTAAAGTTATACATGCATTAAGACAAAGAGTAACATCTCTAGAACGAGTGGAAATAGTATTTATGGAGAAACTTCTTTCTACAGGCAAATGAACAAATGTAAAAAATTATTTGAATTATTCAGTCTCATTCTAATAAATTTCAAATGCTAAGCAATAATAAGATACAATAAAAACAACAAGAAATAAGTTAGAAAGTTATATTCGCTTTGGGGTGACAACAACTTCAATAAGTAAAGGTCCCTAACAACAATTTAGTTTTATATTGATAGAGATTGTGAGCGGATTTTGTTATTTGATTGTGCAAATCGATATGATAAAGTTTTACAAAAAGAATGCATAATAACTCGTTATATAAGCTATAAAGTTTCTAAAAAGGCATGATCTCATATAAAAGAAATGTACTTACAATATATAGATTAAGTGTATAATATGCCAGGGAGACAAAATCATGGGACCATAGGATAGAGCCTTTTAACAAGCTTTATAACTGGTGTGTCATGAACAATGTGATAGGTGCCATCGTCCCTTTGAAACTAAACGTCGATCAATATGTTCAAGAGTGACCCAATCTATTCAATTAGAAATATTTTTTTTTCTATATATAACTTGTGAGTGACCTTCCTCAATGCATTCAACAGTCGAGTGCATTAATGTTTGCAGACGATATCAAATTTTCCCTTTCCTTTAACGCATTGTATGGTATACAATATTTTCGGTATAATCGTCTCAGCCTGTATACATGAAACGTAACAAACGATGTGCTACTGAAACCAAAAAAAAAAAAAAAATATATATATATATATATATGAAAAGATATACCTTGCACTCTTATTATCCTATTGATAATCACATTCTGGAAAATGTCACCAATTACAAGGGGTTAGATATTGTCTTCAACTTAAAACTCAACTTTGATACTCATATTGAAGTTCCAATTAATGAAGATAGGGGATTGCTGGGATTAGTAAACATAAGATATAAAGAAGATTCAATGAGGCATATGCTAGCAAGAGCTAGACCAACATTTGAGTACTTGCCTGTGGTTTGGTTTCCTATTTATAGATGTCATGTTCATCTCCTCAAGTCTCTTCAATGGGACTTTTTCTTATTTGACTTGCGTGGTTTGGATATAGAATCCTGTCCTGTCATTGCTTTACATACCGTTAAGAAGAGACGTGAAATGTTGGATGTAACGTTCGTATTTAAGCTAATAAAAGCGGCAGTTTACTAGCCGCCTTCATTAGAACGTATTAATAATTGATATTCGTGGTGTGATTTTGAGGCATTTTGTACTCTTGCCGATACCTCAATGCCGATCTAATTATGGATTATTCAATCTGTTTCGGGTAGTAGGTAGAGTATTCAGAATATTACTTGATTTTTTTGGTTTTGTCCGCTAATGCGGTTACAAGAGTTGTATGCGAAAATTTCCATTCAGATAGCCGAAGCCATTGCCGTTTAGGGAACGTAATGAGAAAATTGCTAAAAAGATCGAAAAAAAATTATGTCTTTAAATGCCAAAAAGGTATTGGGTAGACATCTGTGCTGGAAAATTTATTAGGCAGGATATATGTACCCCATCGCATATATGTAGGGATAGAGCGCGGTTAATGTTAATATTAGGATAAGTCGAAAATTGAGATCATAATACTGCATAAGTAGGATTCTATTGCAATCAAACGAACAGAATAAGGATGATAGAGACACTCTGAGGTAAATAAAAGAAATATTGTCATAAAATATAACGAGAAATAGAAATGGATATATATCCTTTAAGCCGGAAATGAAATGTTTTCGATTAAGTGATCGTAAAAGTGATCCAATCCGAGCCATTTTCAATAGTTACACTTCAGTGAACCAGATTCAACATAATATTTTAAAAATTCTGGACCTATAGATTGAAACAAGAAACAAGTAAGCACAACAGATGGTTGGGCAGACGGACAGGAAATTCAGAAGATCACAAAAACTTAATATTAACCTTTTACCACAAGTGGGCACGGACGCTAAATGGATGGACAATCGTGTAATAGAATAATGTTTGTGTGTTGAGTTTGAACATGTTTAGGTATTTTTATGTTTTAACAATCCCTCTCCGTTTCTCTTTAGCGATGGAACACAACGTTTTTGCAATCCTGTTGTAACTCTCTATAAAAATTTTGAAAATCAAGGAAATATCAATGAACCGATGCAAACTTATTTAAATCGACACATCGGATGTCGTTGAGACTTTGGGCACTTAAGACTGCTCATAGTTTATGTTCTTTGCTTCTCCCGCGCAAAAATGTACGATGTTATGTGATGTCGCATTAATAAGTGCACGAAAGTCATGCAAATAGTCCTAAGGTTTCCGGATTCCGCTTCCTAAGTATTGCACAAATCAACATATACCCACATACACACACACATGCACACACACACACAAACACACAAACACACAAGCACACAAACACATACACACAGAAAGACAAATAGAAGCTAATACGAGCTCGTTAACATACAAGAATAGGTACATAACTTTCCATACATACCTCTGCAAACATGCATTAATGATTTCATCTAAGAGGACAAATTTGTATTGTGCTTAATGAATTATTGGTCTCTGTAACCCGTTAAAGTTTTGGTTGTCGTTGATGTCGTACAAGGACAACGAAAACGGAAATCAATGACTTTAAATACACTTCGGAAAATCGAACAATCGCTTCCTAATATTTATCTTCTATCTCTTTTTCGCTTTTTTTCTAAACAATACAAAGGCAAAAATTGAAATCTAAAAATAAAGTTCATCATATAAAATCAGATTTTAATTTCTTTAAAATATTCTTTACACTTTATTTAAAAACAAAAAAAAAACAAAAAAAATTATTTAAATATTCTAACCTAAGGGAGTAACAAAAATTGAAAAATAACAATTTTACATTTTACGTAACAAAGTTACTAAGCATTGCATCCACAAAAAAAAAAAAAACAAAAACAATTTGTTTTTTCCATTCTTGGCTTAAAAGTAGGCAATAAAAATTTTTGTTTTTCTTGTTTAAGAATTGGATAAAAAAAATGTTTTATACTGCACTTAATTAAACAAAAACTTCAGGCCTATTGCCTAACAAGCAAATAATCAATAAAATCTACATACGACACCTTTAGCAGAAATTTGCATCAGAAGCGAGAGAGAGAGAGAGAGATTGAGAGACACCTTTTTTTTTTTTTGTTAAATTTGTTTTTACGAAACCATATTAAATTTTACATAGAATTTTTCGTAAAAGAGAAAAGAGAGAGAATTTATAAAAGAAAAAAAAAAAACACTAATAATACATTGTATTATTATCATCATTTAATGGGCATCTTACCGATCAATAAAATCAATCAATTTCAACGGGTAATGCATTAAAATGAAAATGTAAAATATCTTTTAAAAATGCAACTTTTAGAATAAATTTTTGAAATTTATTTATTAAAATTTTGTCGTCTAATCTAATGAATTTTGCAAAAATTCCCTTTCAGTGTATACATCCGTAAATGGATGCATGGATAACCATGGCGACGCGTAGTTATTATAAAGCATAATAAAGATAATCATGATGTAAAACTACGCATTTTGGGTGTGTAAGCACATTGTTTACCAAACTGTTCTGAAAGCATTATTTATGTTGAATAGTAAGTAACTCTCGCCTTTGCATATATATATATATATATTTGAGATAAGAGAGCATATAATGCGAGTGCTATTGACGAACACATTAACTTACTTCAGTGCAAGTAAAGTAAGTAACTAGGCAACGTATTCCTCCTACTTGCTCAATGACATTTACGCAAATATATCATAGGAGAGTACAAACATTCTAACGTTTAAATCGTGGGAAAAGCTTAACATATACTCAGTCATATGCAATATTTCTTATAAAATAGATGTGTGCATAAACATTAACACAATTGCGCTGATCTGAATATAAAGTTAATGCTGCGGGGAAAACGCAAGCTAGCAAGCAAGCATATGTTTCATAAGTTGAAATTTCACCATCCTCTTATTAATCATAATACAAATTAACAATAATAATAATTCATTTCCATTACAATTTTAGTTATGAATAATAACATAACAATGTTGATATCATTGGCATTAGTTTGTAGTAATAAAGAAGAAAGTCAGAGATTGCATTGAAAAATAATACAAATCTTCCATCCATTGCAGGTTTGACAATGTGCTATCAACGATTGTCGGGCAACACAAATCACAATAATGTGGATCAGAAACCAACTCATTTACCGTCTGGCCATTACGCACACAGTCATCGTTGGAACGAACCGTTTTTCGATTTGACAATGCCGAAGAATATAACCTCACTTGTAGGCAAGTCAGCCTACTTAGGATGTCGAGTCAAGCATTTAGGAAATAAAACGGTGAGTTTTTTTTTTTTCATAAGCTACACACAAATACTAAAATATTCAATTGTTACAATGTCCTTTCACTTTTCCTTCTTTCATTTTCTATTATGTTATGAAAATTTTTCTTCAACAACTTTCAAGTTCATAACATTTGAATGATAATGCGCGGGACAATAGTAGAAAAATACAGATATACAATATTATTTTTATATGTTTTTTTTTTTTTGTTTTGTAAAATGATAACAATTTTGAGTCGGTTTGAGATGAATTATTAATGCACGCATGCAACGCTGTAGATGTTAAGTTAAAGCAGTAATTCTGAAACTTATTTATTTGTGTGTGCTCGCGTCAACTTTAAGAGAAAAATGACGAGTTTAACGTAGTTACATAAAGATGGATTAACGATGAATTATTTTTTCAAATGTTTGCCGGTATTAAAAGTTCATATTCATAATCATATTTAACAAAAGCATTTTGAAAAGTTTGTAGCAAGTTCAAGGCTCACTCACTCGTCTATATCAAATTGCAGCTATCTATTTTAGGGCAGCAAAAGGAGCGCAACAAACGATAATCAATCTGGAAAACGCTTTCCATTGCATCCATTGACTGCATTTCGATGACAATAGAGAATTAAATTCGTTTATCGTTTAATATTTCTGCTTTTTACAAACTTTCAAAATAATGCAATACTTTTGCATTTAACTAATATGAATGGCCATCTTTACTAGCATTAGCACTGCGAAATTTCTAAATTCATATACATGTACATATAATTGCTTTCCTGTTTTTGTGTTCATTGTTACTTTCCCTCCGCAGGATTTGAAATTTTTAATTATACGATATTTCTAACAATTTAAGCTAATCCCGCGATATTCGCACACACATGGAATGAACATGGAATGAGCTTGAATCCTTAGATTTAGCTTTTTTCCCTAACCCGATTCTCTTGTGTGCGTCCACAGGTACTTTTTTTTCAATAAAGTTGACATTTGTAATCAATGGGTAGAACGATTAATACGATATCTGTATCAGCTAAGGCTGAATGAAGCTGAATTTCGCAATATTGACGGCATGACTCAAAAATCGCCAGAATTGTTTAGCCCTTAACGTCTAATTGAAAGACGAATTATGCAAAAAGCATATATGGCTTGAACATTCAGTTTCAATGCAATTCCACGCACACATTTAGAGTTTTGAATAAAGCCACAATTAGTACGAAACTTGTTTACGAACATCGCTAACCAATAACTTCCGCTACGGAAAGCGAAAACTTCAGGTTAAAGTACATTTTGGCACCGTATGACCTTGAATTGACAGCTAAGTGAGATAAGATCTTCGTATATATCGAAAGCACTTCTACTTAGTCTAGGAGATCTCAGCTATAAGATCGGAGCAAACGTCCTCTTTGCACGTATTCATTATATGGCCAAACCGTATCGCGATCTAGAAGACGTATTGTATACGTCCATGCCCTTAGCCCTCGAGTTTTAGGATTTCTATGAATCCCGTCACCTGCTTTGGATTGGACTGCCGGATCCGGAATTGTCAAATGCTCGTCAAACATATGTTGTCTGATATTGCAGATGGCCTCAGATGTGATGGAACGTTTCACTCGTTCCATGACGGAATCTGGATGAATCGGTATCAAACATACCCATGTTTTTCAGATTGTACCTGAGGCTATTAATCTAAAAAAAAAAATAAAAAAAAATAAAACAAATTTATTTGCTCAAATTTCTTTTGAGTTTCTTTTCGCGACTCTTTGAGAATTCCTGATTTAATTTCTTGGTTAGCTATTTGCCAGAAAGAACAAAGCATAGGAAAAAGGAAAACTTTCAAGAATTTATTTGCAATAACTTTATATTGTGTATATATATATATATATATATATAACATTATGTGTCTCCGGTGTCTACTTATGCAAATGGAATAACTGATCTAAATTCTCTCTGTATCCCTTTAGTGGTGAATAACAAAGTAAGAAATGTTTTTTTTTTTTTTTTTCATTGTAATTATATTAAAATTAAATAAGATACAATAATAATCCATAATTGAATATTTAGTATGAAATTGAAGCGTAAAATATTCTTAAAGTTTTCTCTCGAACACTATTACTTTATCTAATGAAATATGAATGAATAAATGAATTCATATTATCTAATATTTATGTATAATATGTCGTATTTTATTTATGCTATACGCACATACATATACATGTACATGTACATACATATGTCTTCGCTTTGATTAAATTACAATGTTTTCATTTTTCATAAAACACAAATTCACAAACACAGTACATTTAACGTTTCATTGTTGAATAACTGGGACAATAAATTCTTAAAATGAATAAAATGAAGAAAATGATTTATATTGTATGTAGATATTCGTCCATATATCTATATATATATATGCATTATTTCGTTGTTGTTGTATCGCATTTTCGTTTTTCTTTATTCATATATATAAAAAAAGAAAAAAAAAAAGAAAAGAGAACCAACGCATATGCATATATAAGGGCAATGAAAAAACTACAAAAATTTTAAGTTATTGAAGAAACAATTTGAAGTCAAAGATTACATTTTATTACCCAATACCCCTAGTAATAAGAATGATTTATGAGTATATTTCAGGCATACACGCACACACCCGTTAACGTGACCTCTGCTTTAAAGATATTAAGTTTATCGTCTAAATGCAAATGGTTTCAATGAAAGATTTTACAAAGGAATTTTTTTTTTTTGTAATTTCAAAATTTATTCAATTAAATACATTTTATTTTTATTTTTTATATTAAAACATAACTTAATAGCTTTTGTAAATATTTTAATTAACATCAAATCGACTAATAACAGAATTAACACACATGTCAATAAATTCAGTTCAAATTGCAAAAGAAAATATGCTTTCAATAAAAACAGTATTCGGATAAGGAAAAGCTATACACAAATATATCTGTACTGCTCTACATATTATAATATAACGCAATTAAATATTTACGAGAAACCTGATAGAGAAAATTATCGAAAAAGAGCTTTCTTAGTTAGGAACGAACATACTTGCCTTTTGGATCATTACCCTTGACTTTATTCGACCTCTCCTTAGGGTTTTTCATTTTTCTCGATTTCTATCATATTATTCTTTATGTATTTTCATCTTATTTTCTTCTCTATTCATGGCATTTTTTCTTCTTTATCTTTTTCTTTCATTCTTGTTTAAAGATTTTTTTCATTGCTTTCTTTCGGTCCTCCTTACTTTTATTTTCTTTCTTTCTTTCTTTCTTTCTTTCTTTGTTTTTCTTTATAATTGTTTTTTCTCCATTGCTTCCTTTTCTCTCTCGTCCGTCTTCCTTCTCCACTCTATTTTCATTTCATCGTTTTTCAAGTGGATTGGATTATAATATTTTTGCGACTAATTCCTTATAATATCTTATATTGAAAGAGTCGTCGCCGTATTGATCTGAAAACGAATCAATTTTTCGAATCCGTCCTCACGTTAAGCCCTCATAACACAACAGCAAAAAAAAAACGCAATTTATTTTAGTATTTTATCCAAGAAACCTAATGAAGAATGATAAGATCTTTGGGGAGACAATTAGCTTTACAGAATTTAATTCATATCAGTTCAGAATTCTTTTTTTTTCTCCCCGTATATGGCATACATCAGAGTTTTGCCCGAATTCCATTTATTTTATGACAGTATGACGTTATCTATTCTGTCACGTATACGAGGTGTAAGGAGTCCCAAGAAGATACAAAGTATAATTTTTGCTATTCCATTATGAAGATAAGTAAGGAATAGGTTGCTAAACGAACAGCTGCAGGGTATGTAGCGATCGATTTTACTCCGCCTACAAAGTTTTTACTTGTTTTTATAAAGTTCAATAATGCTTCCTAGTGTTTGCATGTCGGCTGCATTCGGCATATGATTGACGAAATTCCGTAAAATATTAATTATTTTCTTGAAACGGTTACTGTTCTCCATTTCTCTTATGCGCTCGTACAAACACCCTTGAATTATGCAATCCAGCAAAATAGTATGTATGCGAATGTATTATAAGTCAATGCAATTTTTCCGAACACACATAATGTTATCGAGAATTGAAACTAAAGCTATGTCTTCAGACACTCGCTACTATGCACTACATGAGATTATCTTCTCTTAAGGGGTCATCTGTAGAAAAACTAAACATTCAGTGTGCAATAGAAAGAGAAAATCTAAAATCATTTCATATTTGGGTAATCTTTTCACGTTTTTGAAAACTACAAATTTTTGAAATCATTTCTATGCTTCCTCCTAATCTCACAAAAATCATATTACATTTGCCATAGCAAAGATATTTGAGGAAGCGTTTTTAAGTTGAATACAAAGGGAATAAAATGATTGAAAACGAAGAATAAAATAAAGATGAAAATCATCGGAAAATCTCTTTTTATAGAAAATATTTTTCTTATTTTTTCTGTTTATTCAAACTATTCAATCCACACAGTGTCAAGTATATTGAATATTGCAGAAAATGTTTTAACAGCATTTCAAAGGCGATCATCCATTTAAAGAATAAATAACATTTAATATAAATTTTACTTTACACTAAGAGTTAAGCAATTTGCAAGTAGAACGTCGCACAGCTTTTGCAGGACTTAATACTTATGTTATATGTAGAACCGAAAAACTTCAACTTTACAAGCTTAAGCGCAAACTAAAAATAAATTTGATAAGCATTATGCAAATATAACGGGATTGTATTTGCAAGTGAAAAATATTTTACAAAAATTTTATCAAATTTGAAAAAAAAACAAAAGAGAAAAAAAGTTTTCAAAATATTTCAACCAACACAATGAATATGAAATTGGGTTAGTTAAGTTTCCGAAATTTCCACAATGCGCTCTTAAGGCGAGCGCTGCGATGTAGTTGCTTTATTATTTTTGGTTCTGTCAAGATATAAATTTCGGTTACTATATGCTATTCATTATTATTATTATTATTATTATTTCATGTTAAACGTCACAGAACCAGAGATAAACTTTAACTTTTGTTTCATTTGACACTTACTCTGAACATGCGTTACGCGAGCATTCCTTTTAATACCTAATACTTAATATCATTCTCTACAAAATTTTAACTTACCAAAGAAGAAAATTCACCAACCGTAACATAAGCTGCAAGCAGCTGTGAGTTGAGTCACCACACTTACAATATAACTTATGAGAAGCCATGATACGATATGTTAAGAAAAATAAATAATCATTTCCAATGATAGTGAAACAAGTACTCTTCCGCGACTTTGACTGCCAACACCAATTTCAGGATTCAAAATTTTTGTTTAGAGCAAACGTAGAAAGTATAGAGTAGAAAAATAGAATTTCACCATAGATGATGCTTTGGCTTTTGCACCGTTATTAACATTTATTTCTGATATAAAAAGAAGTCGATGTATACCTTTCACTATGACAATAAATACTTCAAGAGGGATACGCCCCCATCTTACTATCTGTCCATCTACTGGGATAATAGTCACGACAGCAAAATAGTGCAAAAACATGTAGAAATATTATGGTGAGGTATAGTCGAACATCGGGCATCCTACACCACTTCAGCTAGTACCGTTATTCACTCATTTACGTAATAATACATCAAAAGCTAAACATTATTTTCATATAAAGGCTTACTGTTCATGAAAGACCACATATTGGAGGATGTCCAAAACACCACATGGCGTGATATAAATTTAGCAAACTCGAATTACTTCCCGAAAACTTTACACTAAAAATTAGAATTTTCCTCCATATAAGGGCTTGCTTTCATGATAACCCCTATCTATGTTGGGGTCTAAAAAACAGACCTAACCGTTAATTTTTTTTGCTAAATTGCTACTACGGTCCCATTTTGATTTTGAAATAGGAGAGTTGAAACTTTTTTTTGAGATGCTCACTATTCATGAGAAATCTTATATGAAGTAGGGTCCAAGAAATAGACCCATGTAGTTCAAATTTGGTCCATTTTATTTTCATTTGCCTTTTTGTCATATAAAGATTTATATTTCGTGAGAATCCTTATGTGCGGTAGCGTCTAAATAATAGACCTAAGTGATCCAAATTCGATAAGATTGATTCCTATATCAATTTACTATTATGGATCAATATTCACCATGAATTATTGAAAACTATATCTTTTTACCCTGAAAATATTCACTTTTCCTAGAAACGATTATATGAGAGGGGATTGAAAAAATTGTTCCAGCGGAACCACACCAATTTTCACACTAATTCGGAACGGTGAAGTGCTTTTACTCAACGAGTTTTGAAAATTGCAAACTTTTCCAATATAATGGAATGATCGCACAAGTGCCCCGATCGAAACCGTTATTTATAGCGTTCGTCCTTGGGTCAAAGCGTATCAATTTCATTAAAATGTTAAAAAGTCACGATCTATAGATAGGTTTAATACAAAAATACATGGAGCGATATGAGACGGACGGACAAGCTCAGATGGATATAAATGAAAGGTAAAACTGTCTCAAGCCCTTTTCGGTGTCACGTACGTTCGGAAGAAATTTAATATACCCTCTATCACAAGTGATGTACGGTATAATTAATATTGCCTTAACTTTCTCAGTTAATCCTTATCATCAAAAACAAATCATTTACGATTATCGGACAACCAGATTAAGATCTTTAAACTATAGAATTTTTAGTTTAAAAATTGAACTTTTTTGTTAATAAATTCTAATAAATCATAGCGAAGACTCGCACATATCTGTCATGCCTGATGACGAATATTTACAGAATGCGGCCAATGAATGAATGAATGAATTTTCATTTGATTTTGAAGTAAAATATCGTACACAAGTTAGCGATAGCATTAGCAGTAGGTATGACTAGATTCGTTTTAAACTTAACATCATTTTTTCTTCTTTTTTCTTGATTCTTTTAATTTATCAAATTGTGCATAAAATTCTTGGATGAACTATAGAAGACATAAGAGAGTAAGCAAACATCAGAAAAGACTTAAGTGCAAATCGGCATAAGTAATGTATAAAAGAAAAAAAGTATATAAGAAAAGTATATATATATATATATGAGAGCAGTGGGAGTGGTGTGAACTCGGCTTCATGACCTAAAGTGCTTTTCTTGAAGTCAGAAACATATTGACGGTGGCCTTGGTGACAATTGAAAAACAAGTACGAAAATTTGTGCAATGACTTTGTTCAATGCAATTTTGTTTGGGATACGTAGCAATGGAGTACGAAGTTTTTTTTCAAAGAACGAGTTCGACAACTTAATTATTTGATCTCGCATATATTGAAGTGTACGCATATCGTTATTTATTATCACATTTGTGCTTATTAAATGAAATTAATTTTCATTTTATATAAAAAAAAAAAAAAATAAAAAAAATTTAAATACACTTATAAAGAATATCTAATATATAAATAACCGTAGACAGATAATGTTATTCATCCTTTTTCCTGTTTTGCATTCTGTGTAAGTGTACATAAGTGGGTATTCATGACATTCTGCCGAGCGCAACGTATAGAGTGTATGCGTATGTACGCAAACACTACACTGTACAGTTCAGAATTGTTAACACTTGAAGAGCCGGGTTCAAATAGCATTATCATATTTAAGCACATCTGTGTTTGCTTATCATTTTGTTTATATTGTATTATGCATACAATTTTTTTTTTTTTTTTTTTTTTTTTTGGTTTCACTTTAAGCAAGCAAACACACGCTAATGTGAGTGAGATATAGTGAGGGTTGAGGGGCTACGGGGAAAAAACGAAGAGATGCAGTCAACAGGAGATTTCGAGTGGATAAGGAACATTAACAAGCAGGAGTAAAGAAATATATTTATATATATACATATATATATATATATATTACAAATTGTTGCTTTTGTTTTGTTTCATTTTTTCTTCTTTTATATATATATATATATATAGTCTGTGAATTAATTTAACTTTTAACTTTTATCCATCTCCTTTGTCTGTTTATTCGGTAGAAAAGTACTTACCTGGTGTTAGCTGTTTTGTTAAATCTTTCACTTTTTGTATTCAAACGAGGGAAAAAGATTTTCTTACAATTTCTTCAGGATTTTGTTCTATTTATTTATTTTTATTTTTCTTTTTCTTTGATTATGCTTTTCTCCCATAAAGTCGTTTTTATTTTGCGCTGAATCTTTTAATACACTTTGTCAAGAACACCTTTTCTTGTGCCTCTTAAGCCGAATGAATCAGACAGATTCATAGGTTTTTTGATGTTCATACATTTTTTGTTGCTTAACAAGCAAATCGAAAACAAGTAAAGAATTATAGTCGACTTAGACCCAATCTATATTCATTATTCTGTATTAGTTTTGTTGAAAAGGTATAACATAAAATATCAGCAAGAAAGTGGTAGACAGGTTCAAACGTGGTAAGAGAAAAAATCAATTTTTTTAATATATACAATTATTTAAGACGCTAGAGATCTATTCCCAACTATTTCGAAGAAGAAAAGAAGAAATTAGATAAACTGGATATTATGTAGTAGGACATGCTAGGCGACGCAAGTATAGCGATATTTTTTTAAGTCAATGTTAATCCAATTTTAAAGTAGTTAGTCTCGTTAGGCCAAAAAAAAAAACCCTTGGAACGCTATACTCCTGCTATGGAGTAGCCACTCCTATTATCCCCAAGACTTAGATAAAGTTGTTCATTTAGAAACGCTACCTAAGCAAGCATTAGTAGCGAAGGAGAATAAAAACATATATGCTCAAGAAATGAAATTTTTTTTTTTTTTTTTTTTTTTTTGTAATAATTTTAATGAAATATTTATTTTATTATTTTATTTATATTTAGAAAAATATTTGAAAATTTGTGAATGCTACGTTTTGAAAAAACGATAATTGGTCACGTTGCGAACTATTACGCGTTCTACGTAGATTGATAAAGTTAGCATACTTTCATGTTATACTTAGCAATTCTCTGGGATATATTTATTGACTCTTGTCTTTGTCTTTTATCTTTTCAATATAACTTTTATGTACCTATGTGTCCTTTTATTTGATCGTAAACGTGACTTAACATACTTTTCATTTAAATATTTATATACGAAATTCAGTATGAAAAAGCAGCGAAGAAAGCGCTTACATGTTAAAAAGATCTTAACTTTTAATATATGCCAATGCATTTTGTTCGACTTAACAACAGACTGAACAACTCGCTATTAACTATGGAAAAAGCGAACAAAGTTTATTATAAATTTACGATATCGATGAACAGTGCGGTAAGGTTTTGTTTTTTTTTTTTATCAAATTTAAAGCATTTTTCAAATTTCAAAAACAAAAACACAAAAAAAAAAGGTAGGAAAGATGTTAACGCCGACTTTTAAGTTAACATCCATGTATATATTTCGTCAAATTTTCACCAAGTTTACGAATTTATTTTTAAACATGAACTTTTTTAAACGCTGAGTATCAACAACAACATTTTTTATCTTCATCATTTTCAAGAGCACTTAACAAAATCTATTTTACTCTCTTGCTATGGTGGTATTCGTTTTATTAAAATAAAAAAAAAATAAAAAACAAAAACAAAAAAAAAAAAGGTTTTTTTTTCTATTTTTGTATGTTTGAAAAATTTTTCATTACTCTGGTGGTTGTTGATGATGTGTAGGTGGCCTGGATTAGACATCGTGACCTACACATACTAACAGTTGGCACTTACACTTATACAACGGATCAACGGTTTCAAACATCATACCATCGTGATATCGATGAGTGGACGTTGCAAATAAAATGGGCACAACAACGAGATGCTGGCGTTTATGAGTGCCAAATATCGACCCAACCAGTTCGAAGTTTTTCGGTTAACCTAAATATTGTTGGTAAGTAAAAACTAAATTTATATAAATATCTATGTTTGTCTATAACATACATAAATAGAAACGTACGCACACACACACATATATATATATATATATATTTATATATATATATATATATATATATA